TAAATCTGAAATAATTAATTTCAATCAATTTTATATAGATATATCTAGTTTAATAGATTTCCTACCAGAACCAATATTATATGAATTAAATAAATAAATTGTACTGTATTTGTACATTTACAATAACTTATTATCAATAAGATCAATATTAGCAAATAAATGCACTTAAAGAGCAAAACTATTCGTATCATAATTAAACATTTACTATATTTTTAAAATCATGAAACTATATTTTCAATATACAGTATTATGAGTAACTGAGTTGGTCAAAAAAGTGGGTGAGTGAGTGAGAGAGAGAGAGAGAGAGAGAGAGAGAGAGAGAGCAATCAGCAATCATTGTTATTTCTAATATTAAATTAAGAAATATATTTGTTAATAAAATCAATTAATGTTTATTGTAATGTTGTAATATTATGTTTAGATCAACAGTAAAGTAATAATTTATTAATACTAAATATTTATTGCTATTCTCAGAATAATTTTTATTCTTAATTTTTATATTATATTTAATTATCAACAATATTTCCCTATTTAGCAGTATTACAGATTGCAACAAATGTTTCCTTGGATTTTTAATAATAAATTAATTTGATGTTGATAACTACAAAAAATATTGAAATAAATATGAAAATAATGTTATTAATTATTTATTATATCCATTTATTATTACTTATGAACAATGTTTTTATTTTCAATTTTTATATTAATATTTTGAGTTAAAATTTAATTGTTTATATTAAATATGAATATTTTCCTCAAGATATTCAACTGATCAGTGATAACTTATACAGTGCACAGTAAGTTATACTGGTAATAATTTATTTCACTGTTATAAGGTGTCAGGTAAGTTTTCACTTGTACTGTATAAGTTAGAATCAGGTTCTTGTATCCCTGACCCTGAAATTCCCATTCATTAATATAATTACAATTTATATTAAATGACATTGAGAGTATAGGGATAATTTACAATAATAAATATTTTATTTATAATAAAATTACTACATTTTACAGGATAATAAATCATTAAATAGCATCAAGTCAATAGTAAACTTGTAACGTATAAAGTGAGATAAATACCGATATATTCAAATAAACTATGAATTGGTTAAAGTTATGCTAAAAATCAGCTGATCATTAAGTATTTATATATATTAATCACATCTAAAAATAATATTAAATTAGTGACTATGATGAAAACATTTTACCTGTAAAACTACTTTTAGATAATTCTATGATTATCATTGATTAATATTTTAGTGCATTAGTGTACAGTTAGACTTAGATAACAACTTGTCAGATAAGTCTAACTGTGCATGTCCATGGTTTGTTAGTGCATGTTGAATGCGAAAGTATAGTACATTGAGTGAAAAACAAATTAAATATATTTGAAAAGTGTTTTGTGAGAAGTTCTGTTATTTTATGAGAAGTTGTTTTTGACATTTAAAGTTAAATAATAGTTGTTAAAATGATTTTAGCAAATAAATTGTGTTTTGTATTAATGGTGTGTTTAATTGAAAGGTGTGTTTCCGATGAGAGTAATAGTGTTGTCGTGAATACGAGTTCGGGTGGAGTGAGGGGACAGACACTGAATGTTGTGAATCACAAAATCAATCAATTCTTGAATATACCTTATGCTGAGCCCCCGGTGGGCCCACTCAGGTTCAGTCCACCACAACCACTCAAAACGCCTAAAAAGGTAATAAAATTAGTTTTATTAAATTATATTATATTTGTTTTTTCAAATTATAAAAATCAGGGTATCATTGATGGCATAGTTGAAGGGAACTCATGTATGCAAATACAAAGTCCAATGTTTTCACAACTTATGGGTAAACTGACCACAAGTGAGGACTGTTTGGTACTAAACATATGGACACCTAATGGTGATAAAAGTGCATCAAAATCACAGTTAAAACCTGTTATGTATTGGATATACGGCGGAGCGCTTACTATGGGATCAGTATATCAAAAGTTTTATAACGGAAGTGTTTTGGCCACCAATGATGTGGTCATTGTTTCCGTTAACTATAGAATCGGACAGTTAGGCTTTTTATATGGTGGCGATCAGACAGCACCCGGTAATCTGGGATTCTATGACCAACTTTTAGGATTGAAATGGGTATATATTGACTGTTATTATTATTTAATGAATAATTATTAAAAATGTTTTATTAATAGGTTCGAGAAAATATTCATCAATTCGGTGGAGACAAGGATCAGATCACTATTTTTGGTGAGAGCGCCGGCAGTTGGTCTGTATCGGCACACCTACTCTCACCCCTATCTAAGGGTCTGTTTAAGAGGGCTATTGCCCAAAGCGGGGCTGTGATGTTTCATAAGGATAGACCAGTTTTGGGAACTTTAGAGGCGTTGAGTAAAGCTAAGGAAACGGCCCGCAAATTGGGTTGTGATCCGTATGACCACAAATGGTTGGACTGTTTGCGAGCCATTGAGGACCCGAACCTATTTCTGGAGCCGACTGAGACTGACGTTGCTTTTGGTGTCACGTGGCCTGTGTTTGGCACTGAATTCCTACCCGTTTTACCACAAAAGGCTTTTCAAACTAATAAATATAATTCCGGTAAATATAATATATTTTATAATTAGTATAAATGTTTTAATAATTGATATAAAATTTATGGATCAGATGTGGATGTGATGGCCGGTGCGACCAAAGACGAGGGTCCGATGCTAGCCATGTCTCTGTTCCCACAAATGAGGGCTGATTTCAATATAAAGAAATTTCACGAATTAATAGAACTCCAGAGAGAGATCTACCATAACATAGACGTCCAGAAAGTGTCCGATTATTACCTCCAGAATAGAGACCCCAAAAACCCACACGACTTACAGAAAGCTTTCGGGGAACTGTATGGCGATTTGTTGATGGTGTGCCCCACCTATGAGTTCGCCAAGAGATTTGCCAAAAGTGGTCGAGACGTCTATTTTTATAGATTTAATTATCAGACAAATCTGTTTGCAATGTTTGGTTGCGATGAACATACCATATGTCACGGCGCAGACATCGCCTATGTTTTTGGTGATCCCGTTAGGACTCCACAAATGTTTACGGAAACGGACTATGATTTCAGTTTAGAAGTTATGAAGATATGGACTAATTTTGCTAAAAATATGTGAGTTGTGCTGGATTATTTATTTTTAAAATGTTATTTAAATAATTTATATAATCGATAGAAAACCACACAATGTTTGGCCGA